TCGTGGTTATCAATGGAAAAATACGTACACAAAAATCGTATGGAAACGCGATTTTTTTATATTAAATATCTTTTGCTGCATTGTCATAATATCGAGCCAAATGGACTACTGATACACTAGAATAGAGCGGCAGCACGGTTAGATTACGATTTCGCTTATATTATCGGTATTTATGTCTTTTAATCTATTTAAAAAATCATATACAGTCTTATAGGAAATTTCTTTATTTTACGGCCTTTACTTTTTCATAACTTACAATATATGTCCAAGCTGTGTGGAGCTAACGATACAAACATATATTCAGGCTTATAAGCTTGTAACTATACATTTTCCTACATTTAATTTGAAATAGTATGCACAAACGGATTAAAAGTAATAAATAATTAGTACCTTTTCTACTACTTTAAAATGCGTGACCGGAATAGACCTGCCGAAAAAGTGAGGTTAAGTTACTGACAACACCTTGTTATTATTACACCATGGTCTTTCCAAGCTTACTCTTTTTTATTAGTTGGCAAAGGCCCTCAGTGGCAGCGCTCCGAACGTTGAGATAGTAATTTCATGTCAATTAGTAGAAAAGTTCCATGTTGAAAAAACTTTTTATTATGGCGAGAAAATTTTACTTTTCTGCTGTGCCAATTCGTAACTTTTTACTGCTGGAAATATTTGACAGTTGCTCTGGTGCAAAAGTTGAGCAATTAAAATCAGAAATGATACAAAAAATACTTGTTTTTACTGACTTTTATTCTTCTAGAACTAAAAGCCATGCATTTATTATACGCCTTAGTAATAAAATTAGAACAAAAAAACTCTTCAAAACCGTCAGGCCGGGTTGAAAATTTTCATTCACCTCATAGTTAACAAAAATTTACAATCCGTAGTACTTTTCTATCAATTCGCAAATGCCGTTTGCACAAAAAAGGTTATAAAATGCGTTTTATTTAAATCGTTTAGAAAATGAGTCATTTATGTATACCATTTTATGTGGAATTATTCAATAAATTTAGTTTTGCACTATACTTTTTGAAACCATTTGGAGTTAATTATTATTGCTTCTTAAAAGCAACCCTGCGTGCTTGGAAGGCGTCTGTACCAATAATTTCATCCCTAGCATATTCATCCCCGAGGAAGGCAGTCGCCAAATTCACCGAAGGTTGTTTACTGGTTATATTGTGAAGACACAAGATCACGCGGGACGGAAAGAACGAAAAAAGTTATTTTCTAGCTGCCGAAATCTGGACGCCATCTTTGCTGTAAGAAGTAAACAACGAAGAGAACGGAGAAAACCGCGAAATTGTTGAACGCATGAAAAATCATTTTTATTATGCAAATTCTTCTAAAAATCATGCCTTTGTGTTAAATTATTCTTTATCTTATGTGTACACACGTTGTCACAAGCGAAAATGAAGAAAATTGCAGTAAAAAGCCACCACCAAATTGTAAACAACGAAGAAATGTAAATAAACGGCTAATGTCAAAATCGTTCAACTTTTTTCCTTAATGCGATTCTAACGGGCCACTCTCCTGCCCGCGTGATCTTGTCTTTTTGGTTCATGCAGTATAGACAGTAATTAGCCTTTTTGCACGGTGCAGCGAACAAAGGTGGCGCCGTCAGTGGTACCGCTACTTTGGTTTTGCTGATTTTGACAGTTGTGGTAACTAGTAAATAAACCTTTGTCTACAAATCAGCGAAAGAGAAATTTGAATTATAAGTGAAAAATCAGTCTAAATTGTGTTAATTTGCAATTTGTGAGTGATTTTTGAGTTGAACACTGCGTAAAAACTAATACAATGAAGTGCTGTGTGTTATATTGCGACAGCCGTCAAGATGCAAGAAGCATAGATGCAAGTGTAGCGCTGAGACGAATCCCTACATTTTGTGTACATAAGGCACGGCAAAGCCGTTCCCGAAATGTTTATCTATTATTATATTAACAGCACTTCCTCACAATGATTTTGTTTCTGCTCCACGCAGCCTCCATTAGCAAGTTTCTAATCAATCCCGCAGAGATGCTGCTGCAGTTTTCTGCAGCAGCCTTAATTGCAAAGCAATGGAGTGCACTAAAACGTTTGCTGAAGCAGCCTCAATTGCAAAGCAATGGAGTGCACTAAAACGTTCACTTTTCTCTAATAGATTAGGAGAAAAATGCAATATTTTCGCATTTAGCAAAATTAAAACTCGTTTTTCGCTGTAAAGTGAACTGTTTTGGCAGTTTCAACTCGTTCTTCTTTTCATTCTATTCTTTGTTTACTTGTGGTACACAAATGTCAACGCCCAGGACGGCGCAATCTTGTATTTTATCATTCTTGACCTTTTTGGGTTGTTGTTGTAGTAGTCGTTGTTTTTGTAGTTATATTCACTCCTGAGGAAGGCACGGGGTTGTGTGCTGCTATTCAATGGCCTTCCTCAGACTTTTTCTTAGATTTCAGGGTTGTGTGCTGTATTATTATTAGAAAAATAAATTTAAGTATTTGTCAAATCGTGATTTTATTAAAAGAAAATTATAAATGGTGTTGAAAAACCAAACAAACGCTCGTGCGAAAGCTCTATTTTTGTGTATTGTTAAAATTTATACATGGCGTACTTATTCTTTTGTGTACTTTATGTTTCTTGAGAATTTAGACAACGTGCGAGCTTCCAGCTTCTGTTACCAATATAATTAACACAAGCTTTTCCGAGTGGTTGCCTTCCAATAAAAAGAATAAACAAATATTCGCAAATAAATTGGATTTATTTTATAACTGACAACTAACCTACGCATTTTGTTCTTTTCTCCATTTTAATTTTGACTCCTTATTACCGCCAACAAATTAATTTCTATACATATTTACAAGCTGTCAAAATTTTGCGTAGTCCCACGAGCTAGGTAAAAACTATGGCATTCGTATTCACAACGAGAAATCTCAAAATTTTTGTTTGGTCTTTCCAAATTTTCTCTTTTTAATCAGTTGGCAAAGGCCCTCAGTGGCAGCGCTCCGAGCGTTGAGATAGTAATTTCATGTAAATTAGTAGAAAAGTTCCATGTTGAAAAAACTTTTTATTATGGCGAGAAAATTTTACATTTCTGCTGTGCCAATTCGTAACTTTTTACTGTTGGAAATTTTTGACAGTTGCTCTGGTGCAAAAGAAGTTGAGCAATTAAAAACAGAAATTATACAAAAAAGACTTGTCTTTACTGACATTTATTCTTCTAGAACTAAAAGCCATGAATTTATTAGACGCCTTAGTAATAAAATCAAACCATCAGGCCGGGTTGAAAATTTTCATTCACTTCATTGTTAAAAAAATTTACAATCGTAGTACTTTTCTATCAATTCGAAAATGCGTTTAATTTAAATCGTTTAGAAAATGCGTCATTTATGTATACCATTTTATGTGGAATTATTCAATAACTTTCGTTTTACACTATACTTTTTGAAACTATTTGGAGTGAATTATTTTTTGGGTAATTCTCTAGGGTGTGGTAACAACCCCTAAAAAAGGTGCGGAAAAGTCGGGAGGGGTACCAAACGACGCGTTTCGGCCCCCCTAATAACAATCCGGAGGGGGAGGCTAATATTATTAACCATTTAAAAGTTATGAAAAAAAAACTTTTGTTAAATTTCGTTGTTTTCTATGGGCAATTACACCGATAAAGATTCACTAAATCACCTGTTCTCACTTTTTAAACACTATTAAAATATATAATTTAACTTATTTATTAAAGAAACACATAGTTTTATCAACCTAAGATAGATTATTTTGTTATTAAAAAGAAGTTGACAATCTTTGCGAGCCGAAACGCGAGATTCCAAAATAGCTATAGTGCTGCCACTGTATTAGTATTTCGTAATAATTCACTTTTCCTTATGAGATGTGTGCACTGTTCAATGCTTTTTGGTATCTTCTTTCGTTTAATATATATATAAATAATGAAAATTTTTAATAAAAAATCGCCCGATTTTTTATTAAAAATTTTCGCCTGCGTCACTTTTTCCATAAAAATCAATACTTCGATAAATAATGAAAATTTTTAATATAAAATCGCGCGATTTTTTATTAAAAATTTTCGCCTGCGTCGCTTTTTCCATAAAAATCAATACTTCGATAAATAATGAAAATTTTTAATATAAAATCGCGCGATTTTTTATTAAAAATTTTCGCCTGCGGCGCTTTTTTCATAGAAATCAATACTTCGATAAATAATGAAAATTTTTAATAAAAAATCGCGCGATTTTTTATTAAAAATTTTCGCCTGCGGCGCTTTTTCTATAAAAATTAATACTTCGATATATAATGAAAATTTTTAATAAAAAATCGGGCGATGGTATAGCGAAATTTGCTATTATATTTTGGTTACAATATCTTATTTAGATGAAAGTAAAAAGAAGAAGAAGAAGAAGTGTATAGTGTATAGTGTAAACTGAGTATAATAGCGCAAATGAAATGTGAAATAAAGTGGCAATACCAGCGATTTGAGGTTATAATAATTTTAGCAGGCGCAAAGTTTGTTTACTCTGTTTTATTAACGAAATATATAAAATAAAAGTGAATAAATGATTTGGTTTGCATAAAATAATAACCGGAAACGTTTTAGTAGTGTTTTAAAAGTGGAAACTGGTGATTTAGTGCATTTTTGACGTGGTAATTGCTCATAGAAAACAACGAAATTTAACAAAAGTTTTTTGTTCATAACTTTTAAATGGTTAATAATATTTACCCCCCTCCGGATTGTTATTAGGGGGGCCGAAACCCGTCGTTTGGTACCCCTCCCGACTTTTCCGCACCTTTTTTAGGGGTTGTTACCCCACCCTAGAGAATTACCATTTTTTGTTTCTTAAAAGCAACACTGCGTGCTTGGAAGGCGTGTGTACCAATAATTTCATCCCTAGCATATTCATCCCCGA